AATTTAAATTCCGCTGCGTATAGCCCGTACGGTACAGGCGAACCCAACAGCTACATGGTTTACATGCATACTTAGATCATACCAACCCAACATTAATTATAATACATACGACATAGCAAATTTTATAAGTAAACTCACCTGGACGATAACAAGCGAAAGCACAACAATAACGGGTAGGCGGCGAGCTCGGCTCGTCAAGCACCTACATTTATTAAAATAGTCCTATAAATGACTATGCAACACATGAACAACTAATCATAACAATCACTTAGTCCAACTAAGCTCACATAATCATTTAATCAAGGAAATCCCATTTCTAAAAATACTATGTACGTTTTTAAAAAACTTAAACCGGGCAGCGTTTTTGAAATCAATATAACTTTCAGTACAAAACTCGGATGAATATGATTCAAGTTGCACTGAAATCCTAACACATGTATCTACGATTCTTATGAAACCACCGAAAGCAAATAAGGTCGTGTACTAGGAAATAAATCATCAAACATTTAAAACTGAGTAACAGTAAAAAATCGAGAACTTGTAACCGACCAGACTTCAGTATTTAATAGATAACTGGAGCTACAGACATGTTTTTAATGAGATTCAAAAACTAAATGATAGCTAACTCAAATTTCTACAGCTTTTCTGAAGACTATATTAGCAAATAATCACTTTTTAAATGAGTTTGGATACAAAACATTCGATTCATAAAGTCTGCCCGAGACTAAAGCATGATATAAACAGCACCTCAGTATTTATCTTCTTAATCATGTTACCGACCTCTAAATTACATTGTTATAGTATGCTTAGAAAGCTAAGAGATAGCCCTACAACTTTAATTTAGAACTCAAAAGCAGATAAGGTCTTTAAGATGGTGTAAAATCTACTAACATTTAACATCAGTTTTCTGCCAAAGAGTAAAACCCTACTTCATGTATATCTACAATCATATGAACACAACTCGAGCTATAGATATCAACTCAGCATGAAACCTATCTCATTAGAAAGTAATCAACAGAACTATAACTTTTATGAAACTACGAATTCCCTAGATCACATTATGATACCTTAAATAGGCCAAACATTATATAGACTCATGCTGCCGGTTCCAAAAAAACTGCTTGCGCACTCGTTTTATAAAATCATAACTCACTCGATATAACTCGGATTAATGAAATTCTAAAGGCTAGAGAAAGCTAACAAGACGAACTATATTTCATATGAAGAACAAATTTTCAGAAAACAATTGCTTGAAGTCATAACAGAGGAACCTTACCTCCTTCAAGAAAATGAAAATGTGGAGAAATGAAAGAGGTGTTGCTCGGTTCTTCTACTTCTCTCCCTATCTTGCTTGAAATCCGATTTTCTCTCTATTTGCTCAAGTTATTCAGTTTTTTAATGGTCTAATACAACTAAGGAATGAAACACAAGAACATGATGCCAAAAGAGAGTAACATAGTTCTCTAACTCATGCATGAGTATGGATTCGGTTTTGGTACTTAAAATGGCTGAACAAAACTTATTAACTTCGTTTTTGATGCTTACTAAAAGGATTGAGAAGAAAATAAATTTTATGGAACCGAAATCGGACTTAAAATTCGACAATAATTGAAAACCGAAGAATTTGACGACAATCAATTTTTCCTCTTCTAATTCGGTTTTTATGGATAAAAAGTACTATTACAGAGATGGTAATATAATAGTCTTAAGGTATTGTTGATACATTTTGATGTTCGGGTCGCAAGGGTTCTAAAACGAATTCAAACGAACAACAATTCGGCTTACGCGATTAAACCGAAAATTCAAACGACGATTGATAAAATAAAATCGAACGAGCTATATAATCACAGTATCCATATAATAATATAAAATATAATCTCAAAATTAAGATTTGATAAATAGAATAATTCGAGAAATTCTATAAATCGAACGGGGCGCTACAATCTACCCACCTTAAAAGGAATTCCGCCCTCGGAATTCGAAAACAAATCAACTAGAGAGCACTAAAAAAAATATACCAAGGGAAACTCAAAACATGAAGCTCGGATAACGCCTCCTAATATCGTCCTCCTTTTCCCATGTCGCCTCGGATTCATCGTGTCGACTCCACCGCACCTTCACTAAACTCACTGCTCGGTTTCTCAGCTGATGGACCTTCCGATCCAAAATGGCTGCCGGTACCTCCTCATAAGTAAGTTCTCGCTCGACCTGCAGCTCGCCGAAGTCCACCACATGGTCAGGATGATGTACATATCTCCGCAACATCGAGAAATGAAACACATCGTGCACCCCCGACAAATCCGGTGGTAAAGCTAGCCGATACGCCAAGTCCCCAACTCGAGCAAGGATCTCAAATGGCCTGATATAGCGAGGTGTAAGTTTCCCCTTCTTCCCGAAGCGAATCACACCCTTCATGGGTGAAACTTTCAGGAAGACATGATCACCGACTGCATACACATGCTCTTGCCTCTTCCGGTCGGCATAAACCTTCTGCCTCTCCTGGGCAGCCCTGATGGTCTTCCGGATCTCCTCAACTGTCACCGCAGTACTCTGGACAAACTCCGGACCCATAATCCTCCTCTCTCCAACCTCATCCCAATATAAAGGAGTCCGGACCTTACGTCCGTACAAAGCCTCGTACGGGGCCATCTTGATCGAAGAGTGGTAGCTATTATTGTAGGTCAGCTCGACTAACGGAAGGGCATACTCCCAAGTTAGGCTCCGATCCAAGACCACAGCCCTCAAAATATCCTCCAAGTACTGGATCGTCTGCTCCGACTGACCATCTGTCTGAGAATGAAAAGCTGTACTGAACTCCAACCTCGTCCCCATGGCTTGGTGCATAGTCTTCCAGAACTGGCCAGTGAACTTCGCGTCTTGATCAGACACGATCTCCACAGGCACTCCATGAAGCTTAACGATCTCAGCCACAAACAACTCGGCATACTCACTAGCCTTCATAGTCGTCCGGACTAACAGAAAGTGGGCACATTTCGTAAGGCGATCCACAATCACCCAAATAGAGTCATGCCCGGTCCTTGACCTCGGCAATCCACCAAGAAATCCATTGTGATGCACTCCCACTTCCACAGGGAAACCTCAAGGGGCTACAACAATCCTCTCGGTTTCTGGTGCTCAGCCTTCACTTGCTGACACACCAGACACCCATCCACGAACTTTGCTACCTGCCTCTTCATGCCACGCCACCAGAAAGACTTCCTCAAGTCCTGATACATCTTCGTGCTACCAGGATGGATGGTGTACGGGGCACTATGGGCCTCTCTCAAAATCTCTCTCCGCAGTTCTGACACATTCGGAACACAAAGTCTACCTTCGAAGAGTAATGCTTCGTCGGTTGCGAGTGCGAAACCACCTATCTGACCGCTAGATGCCAAATCTCTCATTCGGCAGAGAAAACGATCATTCGGCTGCTCAGCGACTATTCTCTCCCAAAGAGTTGGTCCCACGACCAAAGTGCTCAACATACCACCGGCCATCGAAGTCCACTCCACTGCCTCTAGCTGTAGCCGCTCGAACTTCCGAAGAAGGACATCTTGCTCAGTGAATAAGCAAGACAGCTGGCCATAACTCCTCCGACTAAGGGCATCGGCTACCACATTAGCTTTCCCAGGATGGTAGCTAATGTTGCAGTCGTATTCCTTGACCAACTCTAAGCACCTACGCTGCCGCATATTCAGCTCCTTCTGAGTGAAGATGTACTTCAGGCTCTTATGGTCTGTGAAAATCTCACACTTCCCTCCGTAAAGGTAATGCCTCCAGATCTTTAAAGCGTGAACCACTGCGGCTAACTCTAAGTCATGAGTGGGGTAGTTCTGCTCGTGAGACTTCAACTGCCTCGAAGCATAGGCCACAATTCTCCCCTGCTGCATGAGAACACAACCCAAGCCCATCTTCGAAGCATCACTGTAGATAGTAAACTCCAAAGTAGGGTCGGGTATGGCCAAGACGGGCGCGGTAGTGAGTCTCCTCTTCAACTCTTGGAAACTCTCCTCGCACTTCGAACTCAATTCAAACCTCACGGCCTTCTTTGTAAGGTTGGTTAGTGGCTGAGCTATCTTCAAGAAGCCCTCGATAAACCTCCTGTAGTATCCTGCTAACCCCAGGAAACTACGAACATCTGCGGCACTTCTTGGCGTATCCCACTTGCTCACTGCCTCAATCTTGCTGGGATCCACCTCAATGCCTCGAGCTGTCACAATGTGGCCAAGGAATGACACACGGTTCAGCCAGAATTCACACTTCAAGAACTTAGCATACAATTTCTCGCGGCGAAGAGTCTCAAGCACAATCCACAGATGCTGCTTGTGCTGATCGATATCTCGGGAATAGACCAAGATGTCGTCGATGAACACGATGACAAACTGGTCCAGGAAAGGATGAAAGACCCTATTCATAAGGTCCATGAAAACGGCTGGGGCATTGCTAAGTCCGAACGGCATTACCACAAACTCATAGTGGCCATAGCGGGTACGGAAAGCAGTCTTAGAAATATCCGACTCTCGGATCTTCAACTGATGATAGCCAGAACGTAAATCAATCTTTGAAAAGACGCTAGCTCCCCTCAGCTGGTCGAAAAGGTCCTCAATGCGGGGAAGGGGATACTTGTTCTTGACTGTAAGGGCATTCAGCTCCCGATAGTCAATGCACATGCGCATGGATCCGTCTTTCTTCTTCACGAATAAAACGGGCGCTCCCCATGGCGAAACACTCGGCCGAATGAAATCGAGTTTGAGCAACTCCTGGATCTGGGCCTTGAGATCTTGAAGCTCTTTTGGCGCCATACGGTAAGGGGCCTTATAAACGGGGCTAGCTCCGGGGACTAGGTCAATGGTGAACTCGACTTGGCGGTCGGGTGGTCCTCCGGGTAGTTCATCAGGAAAAACATCGAGATACAAACAATAGAAACTCTCTTCGGAGTCCGCTCAGAATCATCCTCGGACACCATAGAAACAAGATAGCCTTGATAGCTACCCTTAAACAGGATCTTCCTAGCTTGCATAGAAGATATGACTCGAGGCACAGTCCTCGACTTCACACCAAAGAATACGACAGGCTGATCAGGATCGGGAAAGAGGGTGACTTTGCGCTCCTGGCACTGGATATCTGCTCGGTAGCGAATGAGCCAGTCCATGCCCAAGATCACATCGAAGTCTTGCATTTCGATCACATAAGCATCAACAACCAGAACTCGCCCACCGATAGAAATAGGAAAATCACGAACCAAGGAATCAGAGATAATAATTTTTCGCGAGGTTAGACTAACCTCGAGAG